AGGTCTTAAAGTGAGGGGAGTGTATTGGATTTTCATTCACTGCGCCAGTGGACAGAGGAGGAATGGTTACCTCCCATCTGAACCCTCCTCCCCCCATATCAGATCCCAGTGGCTGTGGGGACTCTCCTCCACTTTCAAGTAGCCCACCTCCACTGTACAGAGCTGTTCTGGGCCTGACACACAGACAAGGGGGTGGGGGGCTAAGCTCCCAAAGGGGTAAATGACCTGCCCAATGTCACCCGGCGGAGCTGGGAGCCGGACAAGAGTCCAAGCCTCATGACCATCTTTCCCCTTTGCGGGGCTGGGTCCCAAGGGCCTTCGTGGCCACTTTCTCCCAGCCCCTGTTAGATTGGGCTCACACCGGCGGGCATGACTATGGCCAGCACAGAGCTGAACCAGTGCTGAAGTGGGGGACCTCGAGGGGACCCAGAGACGAGAAAAATCCAGAATTCAGGCTGGGCTCTAACCAGAGGCAGGTTCCAGGGGGAACTTTGAGAGAGCTGTTTAGCTCCCAGGACAAGGGGGTTGGGGCTGGGGACCCTCTGAACCCTCTCCAGACGGACTCAGGCAGCAGAGCTGTGCTTCCGTGCCCCCCCCCACCTCACTTTTCTCCCCCTCTCAGGTAACTGTGTCCCCAGCCCTTGCCACAATGGTGGGACATGCTTGGAGGAGGAGGAGGGGGTCCGATGCCTGTGTTTGCCTGGCTATGGGGGGGACCTGTGCGACGTTGGTGAGTGTGTTTGAGGGACTGGTGTGGGGTGGGGGTAGATCTGAAGCCTGGACCCTGCTGGTTCCAGAGGAAGGAGGGGAGGGCACTGGTTTTGGCTTTGCCGTTGATGAATCCCATTTTAGGCAAATCACATAACCTGTCTGAGCCCTACCCTCAATTTCCTCATCTGTTCAGTGGAACCAAAAATGCCTCTCTCAGGGGTTCCGTGTGAGAGGACTGCTTAGCAGACTCCTGGCATTTGGAGTCAATACATGCCAGTTTCCATTCTCCTGGCAAGAGGCGAGCGTACAGCTCTCCTTTAGGATGGAGGATGGCAGAGACCCAGGCTGGGACTCCCAGCCCTCACCCTAGTCCCCAGCGAAGGGAGGCATCAAGGTCCCCAGCACTAGGGCTCCTCCAGGCTCCTCCTCCCCTCCTCCCCTCCTAGCTCTTTGGCCCCGCCCTCCTGCCCCTAGCCCCGCCCTCTTGCCCCTAGCCCCGCCCTCTCAGGCTGCGGTGGTGGGACCCCTTCCAGGTGACCAGGCCCCTTGGAGTTCCCGGGTCCTCCCGCCTAAGTAGCCCGCCCTTCTGCGCCCAGGCCTCCGTTTCTGCAGCCCGGGCTGGGACGCCTTCCAGGGCGCCTGCTACAAGCACTTTTCTACACGGAGGAGCTGGGAGGAGGCGGAGACGCACTGTCGGATGTACGGCGCGCACCTGGCCAGCATCAGCACCCCCGAGGAGCAGCGCTTCATCAACGGTGGGCTGGGGACGGGAGGGGGGACCCTGCCACCTGCTGTCACTCACACTCACTCATCAATCAACTAATTAATGAGTATGTTCATGAATTAACCCCCTCACTCATTAATTCGGGTACTTACTACTTGGCCTGCCTCGTTCTACTAGTTCACCGTTCCTTTCTCTGCCTCCTTCCCCCTCCACACGTGGAGGTGGGGCTTCAGACCGGGGCCGCTGCCGTTAGAGCAAGAAATACACCTAATACATCTAATACATCAGCCTGGCGCCTCCTTCAGAGCTCCCACCTCCCTGCTCTCCTGCCTCCACCTGCTCTCCCCGACTCTGACCTCATTGAACATGTTTACTCTGTGTCTAGAGTTTCCCTTTTCTAGCCCAGGCCCACGCACCGAGGTTGGAGTGAGGGAAACGCGGGCTGGGTGGCGAAAGGACTTCTCCGCGGCCACCCAGCGACCGCTCGATCCTGGGGAATGGTCGCCCTCTGCTGGCGGCGGAGCTCACTGCAACCATCACCCCTGCGGTTCTTTCCCAGATCGATACCGGGAGTACCAGTGGATTGGGCTCAATGACAGGACGATCGAAGGCGATTTCCTGTGGTCAGATGGCGTCCCCCTGGTGAGAGGCTCCCGCTGCCTCTCAAGCTAACTTGGTTGCTTCTTCGAAGCATTTCCGCCCCCACCCCACAGTGACCCCAACCCTCCCTTTCCTTTCTCTGGCTCCTTCCCTTCCCCAGGCCCACTCTCTCCCTGGGTCCTCTTCCCATCTTTGTGCCTCTCTGACTTCTCTTCTGGTTGCCATTATCCTTCCTCCCAAAGCCTCTGACCTCTCCTTTCCCCTGGGGTCCCCTACGCCCCATTCCACTAACCTGCCCTTTCCTGTGCCCCTCCCACCCCTGCTCCCAGGCCCTCCAGACCGTTCCTCTCAGTCTCCAGTCCTGGAGCTCCTCACCACCTCCTCCACCCCCACCCCCTAGCTCTATGAGAACTGGAACCCCGGGCAGCCCGACAGCTACTTCCTGTCCGGAGAGAACTGCGTTGTCATGGTGTGGCATGATCAGGGACAATGGAGTGACGTGCCTTGCAACTACCACCTGTCCTACACCTGCAAGATGGGGCTGGGTGAGGGAGGACAAGGGAGAGGAGGGGTGGGGGCTCGGGATGCTGGGATGGATGTGTAAATAGAAGGAGGTGCAAAATTGCTCAATCAGAAATGGGTCCCAGGCCATGAGCACAGGAGGGATAACAAATTCGATGGGTCCACTCGGAACCCCTGCTCTTTTTTGTATCCAACTGTGGCCCACTTATCTCCTCCTCATCCCGATTCTGGGAACTGTCACTCATAGAACCAGGCTCTCAGTTTCTGACTGTGTCTGCCCTACAGTGTCCTGTGGGTCCCCACCAGAGCTGCCCCTGGCTCAACTGTTTGGCCGCCCGAGGCTGCGCTATGAGGTGGACACGGTGCTTCGTTACCGGTGCCTGGAGGGCTGGCCCAGCGCAACCAGCCATTGATTCGCTGCCAGGAGAATGGTCGCTGGGAGGCCCCGCAGATCTCCTGTGTGCCCCGCAGGCCTGTGAGTGCCAGAGGGAGGCAGGTGGGGGAGGGGGGCATTAACTAACAGTAGCACTGGGCTCCAATCCTAGTCCTGCCAGTCACCGGCTGTGTGACCTTGAAGTAACCACTGCCCCTCTCTGGACCAAGGGAAGGACGGCTGGATGCTCTGGGTTCTCTTCAGTGCTGACGTCAGAACATTTGGCCAAGCTCTGGGCCCTTAAGGGCTGAGCCAGGGCAAGTGTTTGATGAGATCAGGCATCAAGGAGCAAGAACACCAGAGGGGGCTCTGAGGAGAGAAGGGGGAAGAGCCCAGGGTGAGGGTGTGTGTGTGTGTGTCTTCCCCAGTCTCGAGCTCTGCGCCCCAGGATGGCCCTAGAAGGACGTCAGCAGAGGCTACTGGGGCGCTGGACCCCTCCTTCCAATCCTGTTCCAGCTCCCTAAGAAGCAAGGCCTTGGATACTGCTGCCCCCAGCACTGCCCTCATGCCCCACCATGGAAAGTGACAACATGAGAGGGGTAGAGCTGGAGTCCAGGTGACAGTGCCTGAAGGGGCTTCTGGGAAATACCTGGGCGGCTGCAGACCAGCCTAGGCCCTTTCACCCCCACGCTGAGCATCACTTTTCCCTCAGGGCCTTGAGTTGTCCCTAAGTGCCTCAACTGCCCCCTCCTCGCCAGCCATCCTGTCCCCTCCATTCCCCTGGGGGGCTCTGTGTCCACTCGTTCTCTAAGGGAATGAGTTTTCAGGATGGCATACCTGTAAACCAGCAGAAATAAGCTGCATTTGAGTCCAGCAAGTTTGATGCTTCTGA